TTTAAAAAAAAAAACCTATCTGACGCACGGGCCATTTTTGCTGGTCATTAAATAAGATTATCCAAGAAAAGGAGGCAAACAAATTACGATTATACTATAAGCTATCGGTTAATCGCGCAATTTTCTCCCGCCGGACTATCATCAGATAGAGTTCGTAGGAAAATAAGAATAATACTCTGCAGCTAATTACGACGTAGGCGTGACTCGGTATGATGTAATATATAATGACGCGAGAACACACACATCCCCTTAATTGATGCGACAAGGTGTGTTATGCGTCGCCTCGGCGTGAATATGTCTCTGCGACGTGGAGGAGAATTACTTAGCCTACCACGTAATGACATCGAAAATGACGGAATGATGTAAAGAAGCAACGGAAATGTTAACGATAATGCACCGTGTCATGCGATGTCTTCTTCTTTACTTACTTCCTTCATGAGATACACGATCGCTTCGCAGTGACACTGTATTCGCGAGAAGCTTACTCTGATGAATTCGAGCTTGTCGAAGGGATATGTCTTTCTCACAGATAACTCACCTGTGCACTTTAACCTGCTGCGCTGCTCATCCACGCCCTGGTAACAATCGGTGCGACTATCACAGAGCTTCGAGAGCTCGAGCAGTTGCAGAACGTCTGTCGACTCGTTGACTTGACAGCCAAAATAGCCGTCTTCGAGGTTCAGGAAGAATACTTCTCGTCTCAATCCATGGCCGAGCCTGTTACGTGATTCGGCCTGAAAAATTGTAGGGTGGACATCATTTCTTTTAAACGTCAACGTAAAATTATTTTCGCAATTTTTGGATTAGCATTCTGACATGTATGCATTTAACTTCTTTTGAAAGACTCTGTCACATAATTATATTCAATTGAAAAACTTTTTACAGATTAAATAAAGAAAATTAATGAATCTCTTTACTCGTGAAAGAATAAAAGTTTTTAGATGAACGTTTACTTACCGTAGGATACGAAACTAGAAGTATCCACACCAGCAACGGCCAAAGATGTTTCATCTTTGCTGTAAAAAATAAAATCACGAAAATTATTGATTATCCATATAATCATATTGATATCGCGCGCTTGAGCACCGAGTAGATGAATTTATTAACAACGAAAAAAAACGTGGAAATTTTTAGCGATGACCAAATGTGCATACATATTTGTGTTTGTCATCCTTTCTCGAAACGCATTACAAAAGAAATTTAAATAAATTCTTAAACACGCACACGTAATAGCCCGATGACTTCACGCGAGAATCACCCGTGGTAATTGCATCATCGTAAATTCACAAGTGGTTTCGCAAAAACGACACCACTCAACGACAACACCCTGGAAATGATTTTTCACGATCACGCTACATCCGGAGATGAAGAAGGAAGAAAAAGAAAGAAGCACCCGACATTCTCCGCGATGTTCGCGGCGTATAAATCATGAGAAAAGCATCGCGGTTGCAGGGAATCATCGGAAAATCAAGCGTAAATACAAAACCGCAAGAAACCGTCGACCGTTTTTCAGTCGCAACGGCTAAACCTACACTGGTCGAACATCTGTCCAATGAACAAGCCGCTACTCCACCAATCGCTTCAATATGGCTAATTCACAAATGTACGTCAGTCAAATCCATCAACCCTCACATGTAAGTCACGCAATATGTGAAATTATCAATTTTATCGTTCGATGGATATACACATTTAGCATCCTAAAGCAAGAAATATAAAGTCTTTCGGTATGATAGACATAAATAAATTATGTATAAATTACACGGGATTCAACTGCTAATAACACGATGACATTAAAATAGTTGCCGATAATGAATGTAAAATCAATCTTTTATTAGGGACAATCATCATCGCATATCTCAACGCGAATAAGCTTCAAAATTAAATTCTTGTTGTAATAAAAAATTGACGTACCAATGCTAATCCTCAAATACGTTTCGTACATCTGCAAGATGCACAGCGCGTTTGACTTAACATCGCGGAAAAATGCGTGTTTTCACCGAACTTCTCCAACGAAGTTTATATTCCGCAGAAATGCGGAAGTTTAAATCGCGAATTTTCTAAATCGCAAAATAGCCGTGTTTATGTGCTCTCCTTGGACGTTGCAAATTTCGCAAAAAATGCAATCTTTTCGCGAAGTATATCGCGTACGCAGATGCGTCTTAGTCCTAGATCCTTTATAGACGAACAACGCAGACAAACGCACTATACGCGTGCAACGGATAACACAATAAGTTAAAACTGCGGCGATCAACCTGGAGCGGTGAAATGTTAACGACTGCACGCGGCTAAGCTCACAGGGTGGATCAAGGGGGTGAGAGGGAGGAGAGAAGGAAGGACGTTGTGTTCGCCAAGTCGGATGAGAAGGAGGAAGAGAAGCGGAAAGTGTGCAAGGAGAAACGACCAGGCGAATAGAAGGTAGTGGAGAGAAGAGAAGCAAAGGAACGTAATAAAGGAGGGCGTATGAGTGCGATGCACCTGTGCTTCTCCTGCCCCCTCCGACCACCTTGCATCGTCACCGAGTCGTACCCCTCCGCCATACCCCTAACGCGTCAAGATGTAGAAACCCACAGCTGCGAGCACGGGTATCCACACGGGTTCCCTTATTTTAATTTGGTCACGGAAGAACCGGGTCTACCCCACTGCGGGCGAGCATAATTTTGAGGGGGCCCGGTTTTGCTTCCGCAATGCCATTTTTTTTAGTCAAGGTCCTATATTTAAAGCAGAAAGGAACACTTAATCGTGTACATAAACATATTATCTTATTATTACATTATTATTACATTATGTAATATAACATTAAACATATAAAAATATATAGTTAAACTATATATTTATAATTCCTTTTTTAATTAATAGAATAACTTAGCATTTAATATCATACCTCATGTATTTCAGCTTCTGCGTGCATTTTGTGGCTTTAGTGGTTTTTCAAGTTTTATTATGAAAGTGAGATGATTGTATGTGTGTATGTGTGTGTAACGGTTCACGGTTTACGCGTCAAAGAAGTGTTCTCGTAGTCACTCTCTAACAGGTTAATAATTTGCTACGGTTAATGTATTTATTTGTTTTACAACATTGTGTAATATATAATAATTTAATGCATGTGCATATAATAATTTTGATAAAAATAATAACGTCTATGTACATAAATTTTAATAGATTGTACTAATAAAAGTTTTTTTTTCTCGTAAGGAATGAATCAACAGAAACTTGTATTCTTTTACTAATTATAGAGTTGTTACAAATATAATTATTGTCAATAAAAATAAACGTCTTATATAAATGTATTTTTTTAATATATGCTGCAACGTAAGTACAGGTAAAACTGTGAAATCCTGAGGCGATCGTTCTTGACTGACATCAATCTCTCTGCCGCAAGCGATTGACATAGTTACATTGGTTTTTATCGATATCTCTTTAGCATATCTGCATATCGCAATCTTACAATTAGTCAGTAGCTGTATCGCTTATAATCTAACCGTACACTTTAATTTTGCATTATAGCGCATCTGAATGAATAAATGAATGATGTTAATCGCAATGCGCACTTATATATATGGAGCATACGAGACACCTCCTACGCACAATGTTACGATATGAATAATGTCAACTGCGATTCTGTCATCGATTGAAACAAGGCAAGTTAACACGCGAGACTTCTAGTTTAGATGGTTGCTTTCTTATGATGTAACGTATCAATTTTCTTAACTCTTAATACAATTTTATATCATACTAGAATATTATGAAACGCGTGCCATTTACTTTCTTACGCCATATATTATTTAATAAACTGCTATTAAAAAATTCCAAATATATATATGTAAAAGAAATGTCTTCTCGAAATATAAAATTTGGCGTAAAATTATAACATTAATTAATTTACATAGATTTTAATGGCTATATAATAGCAGTATACAATACATTTTATTATAAATTATATTGTATATTACTATAAATTTTAATCAATCAATTTGTGATTGATATAGCTTGGCTCTATATCAGTTGAAACAAAGTTAAATTAAACTGAACTTTTAACGAACATGATCGTAAAGTCGCACAATTGCAAAGAAGCGTAAAATGTTTACGCTGATGATATTAAATTTATAAGACAGAGTTTCTCTCTCTTCTCGATCTCTAATAGAAGTTAAAATGACTAAATATAGCATAATCACATCAGCGAAAGATAGGTTCAATATTGGTCGGAAGAATCTATAAATTACGCAAGGTAGTCGATCAATATTAGTCAGAAGGCATAGCAAAAGATACTTAAGATATCTAAAACATAATTCTTCGCATTTTTTACTTTATCTACGTGCAATGCATATTATCGGGAATTCTGATGCATTTACAAATTGCGATTAGGACACATTCCTCAATTCTCAGTGATCGCGATTAAGGCATACTTTTGAAATCTCGGTGATTGCAGGTTCCCGATAGTTTAGTCAGTAAGTAGAGTTATTAGGAAATTAAGAAAACAAGTAGGGTTATTAAGAATAATACTGAGGAATCTAGAAATAAAGTTAAAATATAAATATAAATAATATAAAATTATTTTTAAAAGAAATAAACTTTTTTAAATTTGTTTTAGGGAAATTTAAAAAAATTTTGAAAATTTTGAAAACTCAAATTAATTGTCTAATTTTTTCTAAAATGCTTCTAATTTTTTACTATCCGTAAGCGTATTGAGGTAACGAATATTTATTAAGGTAAATTTTCATTTTTTTTGACAGGTGTAAAATTATGTAATGACAGTTGTTCACGGCGAAAAAAAGCAATTAGCATCACGGACAAGAAGCAATGATAAAATTTAAAACTTTCAAAAGAGAATTTTGATACATTCAAATATCGCGTTTAACATGTTTTATTTTTTAATGGATACATTTCTTTATCGCTTCACGATATTTGTACAGTCTCAATCTTTATACTAATCTATATTTATAATTAATAGTAAAGCACCTTCCTTGTTGGTGTTACACATATTACTTAAACATTAAACTAATAAAATAATCACAAAATCACGGAATTAGAATATGGTAATCGCGCTTCATTATATTAGATCTTTATCTTTTCCATGACATCATTTATCTCAATTCGATTTAATTACCGCATTACGCATAACCCAAAATAGATATACCAGGTCAATAACAACCTCGATGCGCGAGTCATCGGCTTCACGGATTTCTTCTTTATTATACTTGCCTCGCCCACGAGATTCTCAGTTTATGGAAGCTTGCAGGTCAGGAACGTGTTTGTACAACGGCGTCGTGAAAGTGTCTACATGCGACTAGAGAGAACATCCTGGCAGTAGAGATTATTCTTTTACGTGTGCCCGAAAGACTAGAAGTACATCCCACGCGCGCGATGACTCAAAATAAAATGCACAAATGACGGAAATAATACAATTATTTTGTTAACTAGCAGCTAGAAACTGCTTTGCACGTTATGTTACGTTTGAAACTCAATATTATTACTCGATATTGACGAGAAGAATCATTAACTCATTATACCGACGACATCAAAATTTATGCACTTTCTCTCAGACTGTCTGATCTCGAAACAATAAATCCATAGAGACCATAAAGCTATTACGTCTCATAATATAATAAGCAGTTGATTATTTAGAGATTTTATGATATATTTTATTAAATAAATCATATATATATTTAATGAATGATTTTACTTTATATATCTACACTGGTTGACACAAATGCTAAGAATCATATTACTCTGTGCAAAAAATTATTTCCTTGTAATTGTCAACTAGTGTTTTTAAGTAAAGTAAAATCATCTCGAATTTCGTAGAAGCCGACATTTTTAATATATAATGCATTAATAAGCGGAGACATTTTATTTTTATTTCGTAGATTTGTCTCATATAGTTTGCGTAACGTATCGAATTAATCACAACGGCTACATTCTTTAAAGACAGACATTTATGGCTTTGTAATGTCACCTATAAACGAATTTGCATGTTTAGCACCCACCGTCTATAACTTTAATTGCATAACCGA